TCCTCACCAAGAGAGTTGGGAGTAAGCCATTACATGACATCCTCGGCAAGCTGGGCATGAGAGATATCTTCGCACTAGCTTGAAGGGGAGTGTTAGATTAGTATATTATTAGTTGGGTTATTATTCAAATATAATTATTTTATGCCTTAGGGTTCCATTGTAATTATTAATCTTTATTAATATAAAAAGGGAATAATATCACAATCATTTTTTAATCTTGGTATTCTCTAAAATTACAATACCCACCAAGCCTGTCCCAATTAGCTTTGATTTTTTTCTTTCTTATCACATTCCTATTCATCATATTACGAATGTGGTGTTGAATGGGAAAAATTTTGCCTTAAAGCCGCTCCCTTAAACTTTATTTAGGGGGCAAGGGAAAAGCTCATTGGTTTTTGTCTTCCACTACCCAGCCTGCTACAACAGATCCTACTTGTACACATTGGGATATTAATAACTGTACTATTTTGGGATGGATGTTTAACTCCATGGGAGATCGTATTTATCACATGTTTCTCTATTGCGACACAGTTCCTGGTCTATGGCATGCCTTGTCACAAATGTATGCTCATGCTCATAGTGATGCTCGCATCTTTAAGCTCTATTAGGATATTGCTCGTGCTTCCCAATCTGTCTTAAGTCTTTTTGTGTCAGAATTCTTTGGATACCTTCAGGCCCGTTGGGAAAAATTGGCTCAATATGAGCCCTTGACTGAGTTTCCAGTAGATACTGCCTCTCTTGTGTCCAAATGCCTTACTCGCCAGCATACTTACCAGTTTCTGATGGGTTTAAACTCTGACATTGAATCCCTTCAAACTCAAATTTTAAACACATCACCTATGCCCCTCTCTATGAGGCCTTTGCCACCATTGATAGTGATGAGCGTCGTAAACGTCAGGTTCAGCCGAATCCTTCTCCCCTGTCTCCAGTTTCATCTGATCCGATGGCTTTTGATGCAAAGTCTGGTTCTCGGGGTTCTACTGGCCCTTTACTTGTCATCGTTGTGGCGTTTCTGATCATGTTAAGACTCGTTGCTTCAAACTTCATCATAAGTTAAGGCAACGTTCTTCTCACACTGTGGCTCTAGTAAATTCCACTAATCCTGCTCCTGGGTCTCCTCATCTCCCTAATTTACAAGAGTTACAGACTCAGATTGGTCAACTTCAGGCTCAAGCTTAGATCTCTTACCGCCAATTCTCCTGGGCCATCATCTATCACTGTTGCCACCCTTGCAACGGGTACTTCTATTGCTTTCCATGTTCGGTCTACTAGTTCCTCATGAATTCTGAATTCTGGGGCTAATGATCATATGACGAGTGGATTTTTCTTTCTTTCTTCGCCAATCCCTACTACTATTGCCTAATCTGTGTGTCTCATTGACGGTTTGTTATCCTCTGTTCGTCATAAGGGTGTAGTGTCTTTATCCTCTACCATTACTTTATCATCTGCTTTACATGTTCCAAATTTTGCATATAATCTCTTATCCGTTAGTTGTCTTGCCAAACAATTTAATTGTTCTGTCATCTTCTTACCCTCTTCTTGTCTTTTGCAGGACCTGAGTTCAAAGAGAATTTTTGACAAGGGTTATGAGCGTGATAGGCTGTACTACTTTGGGGATCCACTGGACTGGACTAGCCTTCCTCTTCTTCCTTGGCTAGTTTTCAAGTCTCTGTTTTACCTGCTTCTATGTCTTGTGTTTTAATATTTAGACTTTAGAATTATGGCACGCTTGTATAGGTCATGTTAAATTTCAGTATTTATGTCAACTTTTTCTTTCATTTAATAAAGCTTGCAAAGGTTCTAAGTTTCATTGTGTGGTTTGTGAGTTGTCTAAGCATACCCGTGCTAGCTATATCCCTCTATGACTCCTGCTCCTAATGCTTTTGATCTTATATATTCTGATGTTTGGGGCCTTCCCTTGTCACTGCCTTTTATGGTCATAGATATTATGTGACTTTTATTGATGATCACACTAGGTGCACTTGGGTTTATCTACTTCGTCTTAAGTCTGACGTCTTTCCCATTTTTGTCCAATTTTTACAAATGGTTAAAATTCAGTTCCATACAATTCTTAGAACTATCGGTTCTGATAATGGTGGGGAATATATTTCTAATGCATTTCGTTCCCATCTTAATCAAACCGGTATTCTTCAACAACTTGTCCTCGGATCCCTAAACAAAATGGTGTTGCTGTACACAAAAACCGTCATATTATATTTGTTGTCCAATGTCTTCTTCGGGGTATGGGTGTTCCCAAGTCTTATTGGCATATGGCTGTCCTTACTGTTGTTTACCTCATTAATAGGACCCTTAGTCATGAGTTGCATGAACTCACTCCATTTCATACTCTTACGCCTGGCGCCACTCTATTTTGAACTCTTACCTCGTGTCTTTGATTGTACCTATTTTGTTCAAAATTGGAGTCGCACTCGCACAAAGTTAGATAACAAAACTATTCGTTGTATCTTATCGTACTCTTCTATGTCCAAAGGGTATCGGTGTTATGACCCTATGTCTCGTCACTTTCACCACACTTTGGATGGTACGTTTTGTGAGGATCTTCCTTTCTTTGGTACTAACCCTTCTTTGCAGGCTTCTCCTCCTGTTACTTCCACTGTTCGCCCGGTGACCATTTTGGACGAGGTTAAGAATGAGGTTGTCCCCCTTCCTCCTTCTCAATCTTCGCCTCTTCCCCCATTGCAAGTATACTCCAGTCGCCCACACACTCAACCCCCCTTGCCGCCTCTCCAATCTCTAGGTCAGGTAACTCTTTTCCTTTAGCTCGTCCTCCACCTCCCTGTCGTAACCCACATCAGGATCGACATCCTCTAAATCGTATGAGTTATTTGAGTAGTACTACTCATCCTATTTCCTAGTATCTTTCGTATGATAGGATTTCCCCTTCTTACCGTTCTTTTCTTGGTAAGCTTGAGTCGAAGTCCATTCCTCGTTCTATGACTGAGGCCTTTCAAAATCCCAAATGGGTAGTAGCTATGCAAACTGAGATGGCGGCCTTAGAACAGAATCACACTTTGGATCTTATACCTTTACCTCCTTGGAAAAGCACAGTTGGTTGCAAATGGGTATTCACCATAAAGTACCTCGCTAATGGCTTAGTTGACCGTTACAAAGCCCGCTTGGTGGCAAAAGGTTTCACACAGATTCCTGGCAAGGATTTTGGTGCCACTTTTGTCCCTATCGCCAAGCTTACTTCTATACATCTCCTTATCTCCCTTGCAACATTTCATTCTTGGCCTCTTTATCAGCTTGATATCACGAATGCATTTCTCCATGGAGATCTTCTTGAGACAATTTACATGGCTCCTCCACCCAATTTTCGGGCTGAGGGGGAGTATTCGGGGAATGTGTGCTGGTTACACAAATCCTTGTATGGTCTGAAACAATCTCCACGAGCATGGTTTGGTCGCTTCAGTTCTGTTATTATATCTATGGGCTTTATTCAGTGCCACTCCGATCACACTCGTTTCATTCGCCGAAATTCTGCAGGTCAATGTTATAGTCTTGTTAGTTTATGCGGATGATATTATTCTCACAGGAGATGACTCTGTCGACATTGGTCAAGTAAAGGACTTGAGCCAAACTTTTGATATTAAAGATCTGGGATGTCTTACATATTTTTTGGGAATTGAAGTGGCTCGCTCAAGGAAAGAGATCTCCTTGTCGCAATGAAAGTACACTCTTGACTTGCTTCAGAATACTGGTATGTTAGGGTGTAAACCTACTTCTACTCCTATGGATCCTAATGTCAAACTCAAATCAGAGTCTGGTGAGTTGCTGGATGACCCAAGCATGTATCAGCGTCTTGTTGGACACCTCATTTATCTGACTAACACTAGATCTAACTTGACATTTGCAGCTAGTATTGTGAGTCAGTTCATGCATGCAACTCGTAAAGAGCACCTTGACGCGGTTCATCATATTTTGAGGTATTTGAAGACTTGTCCTGGCTTGGGATTGTTCTTTACCGCTAGTCTCCAATATGGGCTCTCTTGTTTCACCGATGCAGACTATGTAGGATCTAAGACTGATCGGTGTTCCACTTCTGACTTCTATATTTTCTATGGTGATCATCTTATCTCATGGAAAAGTAACAAGCAGGCAGTGGTTTCTAAGTCTTCTGCAGAGGCTGATTATCGAGCTATGGCACAAGGGACATGTGAGATTCTTTGGATTCACTTTATTCTGGTAGAGTTGGGTTTTGAGGAGATTGGTCGTTCCTCTTTATTTTGTGATAACAAATCTGCCATTATGTTATCCTCTGATTCTGTGTTTCATGAGCGTACCAAGCATATTGAGGTTGACATATATTTCATTCGAGAAAAGGTTCGGAATGACATTGTGCGTCCATCTTTTGTCTTTTCTTCTCAGCAGTTGGTAGATATGTTCACAAAATCTGTGGAACCAACTTTGTTCCAGTCTTCCATTGACAAGTTGCGTTTGTTGAATATCTTCACGCCAGCTTGAGGGGGAGTGATGAATATAGAAATCACATTATTATGTTTGAATATGGAAATTAGAATAGGAATTATTTTGATTGCAGGAATCTTACTTTGTATATATTGTTTCCTAAATTGTATCATGAATATATTATATATACATGGCCTCTACCTCATTGATTAGTAAGTCAAATAATTCTTTCCATTCTTTTTTCTAGGATTCGCTGGTAACAAATGCAAAAAAGGGGGATAGTTTTGAATGCTTGGGCTGAAACCTTCCAACCATAGTGGTACTTTTACCACATACAGAAAGCCATGACTTGCTCCCTTCAATGGAGGTCCTTGGACAGTAGTTAAAATTAAATAAAAGTGAATCCACACAATTTATCCCATCAACTACAAAACATGAATGCTAACTGAAGTAGACTTGGTATGCAAAGGAAGACAAAACTGTTTTCAGCTCAGTGATGCCCATTTGGTGCAAAATATCATATTGGAATTCTTTTGATAGATTCTAACAGGAACGTAAATAATAGTTAATACCTTCCTTCGATGTCGATCTTTGTAGCTTATATATTCCAAAGGTACTCGAGCACCCCTAGCCAGCTTAGAAAGAACGGAAATCAGATCCTCAAGTTGTGATATTTCCTTACCTCCAAACTTTTTAATAATGGCATGGCGAGGAACTCCAGCTCTAAAAAGCATATATCTGAAATTGGTAAGTACACAACTATTTCCAATGAGAGATTGTAACTGAAAATTCAAGGTGATCTCTCTACTCTAGATATCAAATGGTGACAACAGCCTCCCTTGTTGCCACAAATGACTTGTACTAAACACAGAAATTTAACCAATATATGCACAGCCAATGCAGTATGTAACAAAATTTGAATAAGAATAGAATTCAAGCATCAATCTAAATTCAACTGATAAGGATAGACATACCCTGGTTCTGAAACATAGACAAGGCCACAGTGGAAACGAAAATTTCTAGCCTGTCACCAAAAAAAACAAGAGAAAACAAGTTGAGACATATTTACAATAATAAGCAGAGCAGGTTATCTTAACAGCAAATAAGCTACAACTAAAAAAACACTGGTATCCAACTGAAATTAAATAAAACATAATTATATTTTTTTTTTCGTAGAATCAAATGAGAGAATATGAAATAACTAACATAGAATGATATGCCTGAATGTATTAGAAATGAGATCACCTTGAAAAACTGTGGTGGAATCAAGAATACCCTTCCCACAGGGTAGGGAAATCATGTGCACCAAAAGCTAAAAGTTTGTGCAGGTCATGTTGCCAAAATGCAATGGTGCTTAGTTTTATGAGCTTAGAAACCACATAATAAATGCAGTAGAAGAAAATAAATAAAAGGGATGAAATATATTTCTTTGTAATAGAAGAAAATAGATGAATAGGTAACATTTTCCATATTAACCAAATATCTGAAGTTATAAAAGCAATGATAAAGACAAAAATTCAGATAAGTGTAACACTTGTTAGCATACAAAAGCAACTTCAGGTTAAATCCTCAAATCATGGGCCTTCAAGTTTAATACCCAAGTCTTCAGGGCATGCTTAATTAAAGTTCCACAATCAACCAAATGCCAATTAGATTCATTTTTTGTAACGATATCAGGAGGTTTTATTATGCATGATGTACTTACTCTACAGAAATTTATAAATAAAATTTAAAGTCTATATTCACCATTAAGTAGCATGTTTCTACCAGTTTCCAGGTTTGACAACACCTATACATAGGTATAATGAAACAGGATTCAGACCACAGGATGAACAAAAAGTTGGAAAGAAATCAAGTTTTAAGCACTCTCCCTCTCTCTCAGTCTCTTTCATATGTATTTTACCCATCCCATAATCTCCAATCCCTCTTTCTCTCTCTTCTATTCTCTCTTATCTCCATGTAAGTCTTCAACTCTTCTAGTATCTTGAAACTCTCAGACCACATTAATTTCAAGAATGCGATAAGATGGGATTATGAAACCTAAGAGAAACAGAAGAACTCCGAAAATATGAGGAAGAAGGAATATATTTCTGTTATATTCAAAACTTCTTATTTTACAAGACCAAATGACACTCCTTATATAGGAGATATTACAAACATCATTATAACCCATTATATGCCACTTACATATTATATATTACCACTATCTACCACTATCATATTATATACATGCCACTATCTACCACCAACACCACTATCATATTCTATACATGCCACTATCCTTCACCAACACCACTATCATATTATATACATGCCACTATCTACCACCAACACCACTATCATATTATATACATGCCACTATCTACCACCAACACCACTATCATATTATATACATGCCACTATCTACCACCAACACCACTATCATATTATATACATGCCACTATCTACCACCAACACCACTATCATATTATATACATGCCACTATCTACCACCAACACCACTATCATATTATATACATGCCACTATCTACCACCAACACCACTATCATATTCTATACATACCACTATCTACCACCAACACCACTATCATATGCCACTATCTTATTATATGCATTAACACAAATTTCCAGCAAAAAGGTATACACATTCACAACCTATAAGTGAATATTTGAATTAGCCCTAATCTCCTTGCTTTTCCTAGAACTTTAAGATTTGGTAGAAGGCTTTAGGCATGATTTGATTTCCTTGGTTAAACGGAGATTGCGATAGCTTATACTCTAGCTAATTTTAGGTTGCTGATCTTTTCCTTAAGCTTCCTATGTATAGCATCCCTAGGGGAAGATGTGATCTCCATAATCCCTGTTGCTTCAACTTTACTTGAAGAAACATTGTCTTCTTTTGGAGGAGAGAACTCAGCCACAACTTAAAGCAACCCTATCGTTTTTGTCGGTAAGACCCCTTGAACCATCCTCATTGGGTTGTTTGGATGGACAGTTTGCTTCATTCTTAGTACTTTGTTCACTCTTGGAATCACACCCATCCTTGGAATAAGACAAGGCAAGCTCCTCGAAATCAGTGTTGCCAATCGTAATACATATTGTGTATCATTGTATCACTTTTCAGTATTGTGTATTTTAAGATACATAATCATATATGGATATAGATAATAAAAAAAAGTATTTTCATATAATATATAAATATATTGTAAGAATAAAGTACTAAATCATATGACTAACAACTTGAAAATTCTCTCTAAGAAACTTACAAATTGGTTAAAGAGCTAAATATACATCCATTTAAAACCCAACTATCCAACTCATAAGAAATTAGGAAAATTTTGAAAATTTAATAATAAAAGATAAATGACATTTCATTTCAAATATGAAAGATGAGTCATAAGTTTCTTTCTTTCTTTTTTCCAGTCGGGCCTGGCTGCTTTGATTTTAGGTCCATTTGGTTCATGATTTGAGACTATTTTTCTAGATATAAGTAGTCCCAAACATACTTGTTATACAGTTTATTGACATGGTCAAAACAAGCCTTTTTGGCTCAAATCTTGGTTCTAAACTCAAATGCTACAATATGAGAGTCATTTTTTCTTGCGAGTTCATTTGGAATTGGGTCTCTTTTGTAAGGGATTTTCGGAGAACATAGTTCATGGTTGTTCAGTGAGTGTCGGTCATGGGATTGATAAAGAAAAAAAAGTTGTTAACAGGGTCAAAAGTGATGGAGAAGATAAAGATGAATTGATTGTTTGGTATACGTTGAATCACAGTACAATATGAAATCATATGATAGCGATTCAACTCACCAGCGATATGTGTCTGTGTTTCGTATCTTTTTTCATACAATATACATGTCACATATTACATGATATTAACCACACGGCAGTTGAAATAATTTGAGGATAAGGTGACTTTTGGCTCATTCTTCTCATCTTTAGGAAAAGCATGCACACTATCTTTGCCCTTATAATTCTTTACCTCTTAACCTCATAAGGATCACCATATCCCAAATTATGCATGAAGGATTTTGAAATTTCCTTATTAGCATGAATCTCGACACAACCTCTAGTAAAAGTAAGTCCACTAAGTGATTGGGTATATTCATCAAGGTACAAAATAAAGTAGTACCAATAACACTAGCTACATAACTCAAACCATCTTCGGCCCATAGCTCAAGGGAGATATTATAAAATTTCACTCAAATTGGGACACTAGAAAATTATTTCTTAGTCAATTGCATACCGCAATGCCATCTCTTGAAAACAATTAATATAATCCCAAAATAAAAAGTTCTACTATCAACAAAGCATCCTCATTTTTAATCTTAAAAATAAAAAAAAAAAACCATTGTCTAGAGTAACTATATCATCAAGATTATCGTTCTACAATTTTTTGGGCCTTGACTTAATCTTTTGGAAGGATAGTCTTTTATCAATAAAAAGCCCGCTAAAGCATGTTCCCACTTTAGAAAACCATGTCTTGAAATTTCAATGGGAATCTTTAGATCATCATTTTCAAAACCCACAGTGTATGAGCATGAAATAATGTTCTCGTATAATCCTGTTGATCAAGTTTACGCTCCTCCGAACGTCGTCGCTTCACCTAAAAACACAAATGTGAGCTAGCTGGCATCTGTACAGTGTATCGAGTATGACGTCACTCT